TTCAGATTTTCCATAGCAGCAGCATACTGTCCTTAACCAAACACACTTATCAAGACTGTCCATAACTTGACTCAGGATAAACAGAAAAAGGTCGGTGGTAGTCCTCCAGCTCGGTTTCATTGCTTCGCGATTCACCCAACAAAGCAACTGTTACGAGTTCATTGCATGTCGATCCTCCTTCATTTCGGTTGTGATACTTTTCCGACGCGAATAATCGCGACTAACTACCACAACCTAAAAGTAAGATGATCGGCATGCAGTGAACTCGTAACAGTTGTCTCGCTGGAAGCTAGCGAGGCGATGAACGCGCGAACTATGCCGGAGGCCTAAGCCAAGTAAGCATAATTCAAAATAGCAAATTCGAAAAGAAAGCTCGAACTTCGACTTTACATACCATGTCGAGCATTGGCATCACGCAGCTCACGCATCTTCTCGCGAAGCTGTGGAAACGGAGTGAGACGTTGTCGTATGGCTGCTATGCTAAAACCACCAGCTCATATTGGAGGAACAGAGGTATGGAGGAGAAGATCATTACTTGCCCTGTTTCGATAGCGCTGATATCCTCAGCAGCAGTGTGTAGATGTGCAATCGCAGTTCGAATGCCCTCTAATTGGGACTGCACGCCAGTGCGAAGCATGGCTTCTACGGCAGCCTGAGCAGTGTTTTGATGGAAAAAAGGACGTAATTTATGGAAATCCCAAAGAAAAATGGCAAGCTGTTTAAGTTTCAATGGTAAGAATTATACGTCTCAAAAGTATACCTTCTTCCTGTCCGCTCTTTTGCGCATTTCTGGAAGCTTCTCAAGCTGATCAGGTCTTTGCAAAAGAGAAGCAATCTGATCCAATGCTGCTTCATACCCGTTTTCCTCCATGCCTAAGAACCAGAAAATCTTACGATATGCCTTTCTGACAATGATTCAGATATTGCCGGACTTTCTAAAACTTTCCAGACGGAAGACACAAAGCGATTGTATGTTTTATTAGCATAAAGTCACAACAACAACAAGGCACATAAGTATCATGACCAGAAACCCATATGGGACAAAGTGATTGACTGAGCTTCAAGAGAAAAGACTATTTGGTATTATGCAACGATTGACACATCTTCAAAGTTCTTCCTTTTCTTCCTTCTCCTTCTTCTGACCAGCTTCCTTCCCCTGCTTCTCCTTCTTCAGATCACCTTCCCTCTCCTTCTTCTCCTTTTTGTGATCAGCTTCCTTCTCCTTCTTCTCCTTCCCACCAGTCTTCTCTTTCTTCTCCTTCTTCTCACCAACTTCCTTCTCCTTCTTTTCACCAACTTCCTCTTCCTTCTTCTTACCAGCGCCAATATATGTTTGACCTTCCAAGACAATCTGCAAGTCGCGTTCACAGTAAACCGAAGTAAAAAGAAAAATGAACCCAACCTCAGTGACTTGCTGTTGTTTCAGCAGAAAGTTTTTGGCTTCAAATGCCTGAGATCCATCCTCAAACATGAAAATGGCACGATCATCATCGATGAGGAATACCTGCAGGAAGCAGCATTATCGACAACGGAATGAAGGGGAACCAAGAGGGTTAAAGGCAGTGTCCGGGCAAAAAGTCGGTTTTGAGATTTTGTGCTTATCCGGGCCTATTCGCT